CCGCTGTGTGGTGTTGAACAAGCTATCTCTTTTGTTTACTATCCTTTTTTAAAAAATGAAGTGAAATGCACATAGTATCAAATTAACCATTCTACAGTGGATGACTTGGTGACATTTAGTCTGCGTACAATGTTGTGCACATTTAGCAAGTTCCAAAACATTTCCACCACCCCAGAGGAAACCCTGGACCCATCAAGCAGTCACTCCGCAACCCCCCATCCCCCACTCCCTGGCAACCATTAATCTGCTTCCTCTCTCTCCCTCTCTCTCTCTCTCTCTCTCTCTCTCTCTCTCTCTCTTTCTTTCTCTCAAGCAGTAGGGCACCTCCTTTGCAAGCATGAAGCCTGGAGTTCAAACCCCAGTCCCACCAAAAAAGAAAAAAAAATTCTAGTGGTTATGAAGTAGTGAAGCAGTTGTGTTTTTGATTTGTAGTTTCCTGTGACAAATGATGTTGAGTGTCTTTCTGTGTGCTTGTTGGCCCCTGTATATTTAGAAATGTCTGTTTCAGTCCTTTTGTCTGGGTAGTCCTGGGGATTGAACTTGGGCCTCTAGCTAGCAAATGCTCTGTGACACCCCCAGTCCTTTGTGCTTGGGTTTGTTTTTCAGGCAGGGTGTCACACATCTGATTTATCCTTTCCTTGTCTGTATACTTTCTTCGTGTTTACTGTGGGGATTACAATTAACTTCTTAAATTCATAATAATCTTTGAATTAATGCCATTTTAACTCCAATAGTATACAAAAACTCTGCTCCTACACAGCTCTATCCTCGTCCCTTTATGTTTTTGTCACAAATGCACTGCAACCATTAATATATTTGGAATTATTTTATGCGTTTGTCTTTTAAAACATCTAGGAAAGAAAAGCCACAGACCAAAAATACAGTACTGAATTTTGCATCTGCTTGTGTAGTCACCTGTAGCAGTGTTCTTTATTTCTTTTCTTTTTCTTATTTATTACTATTATTATTATTATTTTAGACAGTCTCGCTATGTAGCCCAAGCTGGCCTTTAACTTTCAGCCCTACTGCCCTACCACCACATGGTGGTTGCCTGCACCACCACGCCCGGCAACACTTCCTTCATCTATCTTATTTTTGCAGTGCTGGCAATGAACCCAGGGCCTTGTGCATGATAGGCAAGCGCTCTGCCACCGAGCCACAAGTCCAGCCTTTTGATTTCTTCATATGACTTTGTCCTACTGTCAGGTAGCCTTTATTTTTACCTGGTTATTCTCTCTCTTTGTCATTTCTACTAGTGACAGGCTTCTTAGTTCTATTGATCTGACTGTCAGTGTCTTCATTTCTCCTTCATTCTTGGGGGATATAGACCTCATGGTTTACCATTATTTCTGGCACTTTAATATGTCAGTCTTGGTTTTTGCTGAGAAAATCAGTTGTTAATTTTATTGACAAATCTGTACATGATGAATTGCTTTTTGTATGTATGCAGTACTTGGGATTAAACTAAGGGCCTCATATTTGTTAGGCAAGCACTCTACCACTTGAGTCATGTCCCCCAGCCTTTCTTCATTTATTTATTTATTGGTGGGATTGGGGGTTTGAACTCAGGGCTTCATGTATGCAAAGCAGGCACTCTACCACTTGAGCCACACCTCTAGTCCTGAATCTTGTTTTTGAGATAGGGTCTCACTAACTTTCTCCGGGGCTGGTTTCAGACAGTGATTCTCCTACCTCTGCCTCCCAAGTAGCTGGGATTACAGGAGTATACCACCACGCCTGGCTGTCTTTCTCTTTCAACAGTTGGATAATAAAGTGATACAGTATAGATATAGATTTGTAGTACTGGGGTTTGAACTCACGGCCTCACACTTGCTAGGCAGGGACTCATCACTTGAGTCATGTCTCCTAGTCCTTCCACATTTTTTATTAGGACATATGAATTGTATAGTACAGATGGGGCTCATTCTGATCTCTGATCCTTTATTTATTGATTTAATGGAACTGGAATTTGAACTCATGGCTTCACATTTGTGAGGCAGGTGCCCTACTGCTTGAGCCACACTCCAATCCCTCTGTTCCTTTACATTGTGGTCAGTCAGCAGTTTTTGTTGTTGTTTTTCTTTACTTTTGAGTCAGGGTCTCACTCTGAAGCCCAGGCTGCCCTTGAAATTGTGATCCTCCTGCCTCAGCCTCCAGAGTGCTGGGATTATGGTGTGAACCCCCTCTCCCATCTCATCTATGTTTTCACAGAAGCTTGCTTGAAAAACCAAAACTAAAAATGGAATGAAAAAAAAAAAAAAAAAAGAATGAGAAGAAAAGCTCTTCCAGTCTCTTCAGAGTTCTCTGTGTTGGCGTTCTCCTTCAAGTCTTAGGGAGAGAAGTCATCCAAATCCAGGCAGAGTAGCTCCATCTTGCAGCAAACTGCCATTTTTGCTCTTCTGTGTACTGAAGCTATTTGCCAGACTGCAGCAGAATAAAGCTGCCCTTTGCAAGGACTGACAGTGTTTGCTGAGATCAGCAAAATCACCAATAAGGGCAAGGATAGAGTACACGTAAACATACAACTTCCCAGCCCGGCTCAGAGCTCAGGCTCACTTCAAACCTCAGTTCCACGAAAAACAAAAACAAAAAAACAACCCAGAAACAACAGCAACAACAAAAACCCATTAACGAAATCGTAAGCCGGGCACCGGTGGCTCACATCTGTAATCCTACCTACATAGGAGGCAGAGATCAGGAGGATCACGGTTTGAAACCAGCCCTAGAGAAGAGTGCACGAGACTCTATCTTGAAAAACAAATCACAAAAAAGGACTAGTGGAGTGGCTCAAGGTGTAGGCCCTGAATTCAAACCCCAGTACTGGTGTGTGGGGGAGAAGCATACAACTTTCCCAGAATCTGGTTTTGTCTGTCTTGTTATCTGAGCCTGTGGTCAGTCCTACTGTGTTAACACTAGGCAGTGCTCCAAGTCCAGGTTTGCATGAATTCTGAGTGATACCAAAAGGAGTCTCGAGGTGTGGCTCAAGTAATAGAGCTTTTGCTGAGAGGTCCTAGTTCAATCCCCAGTACTGCCCCCCCACACTCCAAAAAAAGGAACTTGATAGGCAGGGGTGGGGAGGACTGGGGAGGGAGGGTGTTGGTGAAAGCTGGCCACCACCCTGTAAAAACCCCAAATAAGCTCATTCCTCATCAGCCTGGACTTGTTCAAGTCACTCTTTGGGCTGTCCACACTGAATTTTCTACCTAGAAAATTCATATAACAAACATCTAGCCATGTTGTTTACAACTCTGCCTTAGCCTTCATTTCCTGGGTGTGGGCTTAAAGATCAGCCAGAGGTGAGAGTTTAGGGTCTTCTCAGGTCTCTCTTCTCAGTGTGCATCTTATCCTCCATGCACATGATTTAACTGATATTTGAGGGGCTTTTCAATTCCCCAAAGAACCTCTCTTCCAGATCTGATGGGCAGGTTGGGTTAGAAAGGTGAACTCCAGGCTGTGACATCAGAGGGACATCTGGCTGTGAGGTCCTTTTTCTGGGACCATCATCCACTGCTCAGACCAACCCTGGGCTTGCTACAGGTGACAGTAGCTCCAGTGGGATTCCTGGGACTACCTGGCCTGCAAAGTGTGTGTTTGTTGGGGGTGGGGGTGGCGGTCTGCCAAGTCTAGGGAGCTTTTGGGTATAATGCATCACCATCTCTGAAGGTGGAGGATAAGGGGGTTCAGCAAGTGTTGGGGACTTGCTTCATCAGTTCCAGTCAGAGTGTACAGCTAAATCTAGTGGTCTTTGCAAGAGCCTAGCCGAGGATCTAAGCCCTGGCTCTGATCTTACTCCATACTTGGCAAGTTCCAAGGACCCGCTGTCTGGATTCGCACCCCGGACCCTACAACAATCTATATGCGCTTACCCAAGTTGGGTTAAATGAGCTCTGTAGAGGCAGCCACCCATGCATCTCCTGTGTCCATCCTCCTCTCTCCAGGTTGCTGTCTAGGTCTCACTGCTGCAGGAAGAGACCCACTGTGACCTCTCTGCTCCTTCCCCTTCCCTCTGGTAACTGTCCACATGCAGCTACATGGGTCTTTCTGAAACACAGATCTGACCAGCTAAGAACTCTCCATTGTCGCTTTTCTTGACTGCAGGACCAAGTTCAGATCCCGCAACCCTGTACATAAGGCCCTGTCTCATCTGTCCCCAGCCAATGACTACTCTCATCTCATCCTCTTCCCTTCCCATCTCACCTCCTAAAGCCCTCCTCAAAAGTCCCCACTGCATATTTCATACCTTCCACACTTCTGGCACTTCTTCCACCATGGCCCAGAAAACTCACTCCTCCTTCAGGGCCCCTCTGGAGGGGGAGTTCTGTTTCACATGCTTCTGCAGGGCCTCACAGACAGCACTTGGTCTCCCATGGCCTTGGGAGCCAGGCGATTGTCAACAGTGGTCAGACCCTCACTTGGCATCTGCTCTATGGTTTATTTTGGCTGTCAAGTTCATATCTTGCCTCACCTCTTTTATGATATCAAAAAAGCCTGTGGCTTCGAAGCAGGTGCCCTGTGTTGGCTCAGCAGCACTAACAGGTGCTCAGTGCCTGTTCAAAGAAGGCAGGAGTCAGGAAATCTTGCTTTTCTATGGAGGAGGTAGTACATGTGTATGGAGGTGAAACAGGCCTCTTCTTCATTTATCTGGAACACTGGCTATGCTGCCAAAACCCTGCCCAGGCTGAGTGCCTCTCAAGGCTAAATTTCTGGGGAGGCAGTGAGAACCCAGGCTAATGGAAGGGGACAGTGATAGTGGTCCATTCCAGCCAGGTGCTCTGCCCTGGAGCACAAAGCTTCCTAAAGATCTCTGTGGTCCCCTTAGTTGTCACGTAGCCCAGAGGACCCAGCAGAGATGCCCAATCCCTGCCTTCCTCAGAGCCTCTGTCACCCAACCTGTCAAGTGGGTACAATTATTCCCACCCCACCCACCTCACTGTTATCAATGCAGCTGACGGCACATTGGAAATAAAGACTCTGAACACATTATACAAGTGAATGGGTTGTTATTCGGCCCAAGAGCAGGGTTAGAGGGAGAAACAGGGCAAAGATAGAGTAAGTGCCTAGGACTCTTCCGGAGTCCCTTGAGGAGAGAAGCAGGTGATAGGCAGGAGGAACAGCACCTAAGGGAGGAGGGAAATGGGGGCTGCACCACGGACCGGTAACTTTCCCTTGGGACTTGGTTTCTTCACCTGTACAACAGGGAGGCACAAGCTCTGCCCCACTCCTTCCAAGAGCCTCATCGAGGCTTCAGTGTGAGAGGGATCAAAGAGCTTTGCAAACTGTAAAGTACAGTACATAGATGCAGGCTAACTGCCATCCTGAGAGCCAGGCCCAGCTGGGCTCTGGGGAGTGGGGACAGTTAGTGTTGGCCATGAAAACACTGTTTGAGGCTCAGAGGCTGGTCCTTCGAGCGCCTTCAGATCCTGACAACTGTCCCCCTCAACTTCCCTGGCACCCTTTGCTCTAAGTGGGAGAGACTTGACCATGGGGTCGCTGGGATCTGGGGGAAGGTGAAGCTGCTGTCCTGAACTGGCCCCACCTCCTACTCTGAACAGAGGCAGAGGCCGTATCAGCACACTCTCAGCAAGGATTACTGGAGGGTGTGCTCCCTGGGATCAGGAGGTGGCTTCTTAATGAACAGACGCAGTCCTGATGGCGGGGAAGGCCCTGGCCCTGCATCCTTCTTTCCCCGATTGTCATCCAGCTGATGCACTCTTGTGCATCTAGGTGCAGTCAGTCCCTCTGCATCCCATTCTGTTCCTGGGTTAGGGGTAGAATGATGTCGGGTGGATTCTTCCCTGCAGCACCCCAAAGTGGCCATGAGCTAGAGATGGAGAACTGCTCCTGCCCTCTCCTGGCACCTGCAAACCAAGAGCCTCGGCCCAGCAGAGGCCAGAGCCCAGCATGTCATTCACATGGGCTGGGTCTCAGCTCCAGAAGAGGTGCCAAGAACAGGGCTGTTTGGAGCCCCGATGACCCCTTCAGAGCAGCGCCTTGAAGAGAAAGGAGAGGGAGGCTCCACAGGAGAGTCCCAGGGCCAGGAAGAAGGTCATGAGGGCACCAGCCACCTCCCTCTCATGTGGCAGCACTTGCCTGGAACACATAGAAACAGGAACTCTTAGCAAACAATAGGCTGAACCCCAGAGCCAGCCTCTAGGCCCTCAGGTCACTATAACTCAGCCCTTCTCTGGATTTCTGTTTCCCAGAGGTTGCTGGACAAGATCATTTCTCAGGTTTTTTTTTTTTTTTTTGGGTGGGACTCAGGGCTTCATGATTGCAAAGCAGGTGCTCTACCCCTTAAGCCATACCTCCAGTGTATTTTGCTCTGGTTGATTTTGGAGATGGGGGTGTCTTACAAAGTATTTGCCCATGCTGACTTTGAAAGATTCTCCCAGTCATCTCATGAAAGCTGGATTGTCCCCTTAAACAATATGAACTTCTTCAAACCATCTTGCAAACCAGAACTGAGATAATGATAAACCAGAGCACACCTGTGACCAATTCTCTTTGTTATGTGTACCTCTGACCTCTTGCCCCAACTCTTCCTTGACTTAAACCTAAGCCTTTGTGGTAATACCCTGAAGATGGGCTGAAATGCTTACTTTCTTTCTCTTTTCCCAACATAGTCGTGTTGATTGAAATCCTTGCCTGCCTTTTACCATTACTTCCGTTTGCTTTCTTTAAGGCAAGTGACAACATCTGACATGTGGCCTTGGCTTCTTTTGTTGTTGTTGGGACTGGGGTTTGAACTCAGGTTTTCACACTTGGAAAGCAGGCACTCACTCTATCGCTTGAGCCACACCTCCAGTCCATTTTGCTCTTTTGGAGATGGGGTCTTAAGAGCTATTTACCTAGGTCGGCCTAGAACCTTGATCCTCCTCATCTCTGCCTCCCAAGTAGCTAGGATTGCTGGCGTGAGCCACTGGCGCCCCGTCATTCTCCAGGACTTTAGGGGCCAGTACAGAGTTCTTGATTCCATTACATTCCTTCTCAACAAAATGTCCCCAAACTGGCTCTCCCTGTCACCTTTACTCTCCTGACATTCTCAGTTCCACAGCCCCTAGATGAAAAAGTGCATGAACTCTTCTTTTGATAAAAACTAGTTCCCTTTCAACTGAAAATGTTAGAGCTAAATGGGCTCTAAGGGATGCTGGTTCCACTCGTTTATTTACAGACAAGGAAACTGTGCAGCCCACTGAGATCCCAGAACTAGTGCCTGGGCTACTTAGGCAAGTTCCACCCCAGCTGCTGGTCTGGGGTCAGTTCAGCAGTGACAGCCTGGGCCTGAGCCACTGGGTGGCACAGTGAGTCCCGCAGCCAGTAAATAGGGCTGGCCAGGGCAGGGTCCCTCCCCTTCAGTTGATCCTCCTCACAGGGCTAGCACCCTCTCCACCACCAATCTCCACCCCTCCCATCCTCCAGACCTGGGTGCCAGGCACATGGTGAGGGACACCAGATAGCCATTGGAAATGGCGAAGAGTAGCATGAAAGTGATGAAGTAGGCGTCCTGTGGGAAGAGGATGGGCAGCCGGGAGCGCTCAGGCACATGGCACAGCATGAAGAGTGGTATGAACAGGAAGCGCAGGCACACCAGCAGGGGCAGCAGCCGGCTGTCCTCATCTGGCTGTGGCAGAGGCTCGGGTGAGTGTAAGGGCTAGGTCTCTGTGCCAGGGACATCTCAGGACACTCGCAGGATAGACCCAGCAACTGTCCCCTGACCTCTGCTCTGACCCGCCCTGAGCCAGTGAGGACCCGGTGCTGGGTCGAACCTCAGCCTGTCCTGAGCTGTTTTGTGATCTCTCTGGCAGAATTGGAAGAGACCTTAGACCAGTCATGAATTTCAAACTTGGTTCCTCAGGGCACCCCTAGGGGTTCCACAGTTCCCTTTGGAGCACATAGGATTTCTTTACCTCTTGACTTTATTTATTTTTCTTGGTGGCACTGGAGTTTGAACTCAGGGCCTCAGGTGCTCTTACTATTTGAGCCACTCCTCCAGCCTGTTTGTGTGATGGGATTTTTTAAGATAGAGTCTTGCCTATCTTGCCTATTTGTCTGGGCTGGCTTTGAATTGCAATCCTCCTGATCTCTGCCTCCTGAGCTTGCTAGGATTATAGGTGTGAGCCACCCGCACCCAGCTCACATGTGATTCTTTGATATATCTACACATCATGTAATTCCCAAATCAGGATAAGTAAATCTGTCTCCTCGAGCCTCTATGTAACATTCTCCAAGCACTGAAGGCTCGGCCTAGGCTGGACACAGGGGACACAGGTCACCTGGATCTGTCTTGCTCTGGAGGAGCTCCCTGGCTTGCAAGTACACCCAAGGGCCAGCACTCACTGCCACTTGGCATGCTGTGAGACCAACTGGACTCTTGGAAAGTGGCCTTTCTATGCTTTTTTTGTACCTCTTGTCCCTAACTGCTTCCTAATCTGTCATCCGGCCCAGCCCCAGCATGCTTGCGCACCCACAGGAAGTAGGAGGTCAGGCTCCGGCCCAGCCAGTCCATGACATTGAAGAGCAGGAAGCAGCAGATTGGGTTGAAGAACTGACCTGGGGGAAAAGAGAGGGCTGGTGGTCCCCCTGGTCCACCACTCCTCCTGTGCTTGCTGCCCTCCCCTCCTCCATCCTCTTCTACTTCCCATCACTTACTCCATTTCCCAGGACTGGTGAAGCTGGTCACCATGGCTGTGATGGCCGGGAAGACCGATAGGGTGACTGTGAAGACCAACACAAGGCACAGCGCCGTCAGCCAGATCTGGGAGGCAGAGGCGAGGGTGTGAGTGGGTAGGGCAGCCCCTAGTGCATCCCACAGCTCCCAGCCCTCTCCATGAGCAGGTTCTGCTGTGTTCCTGACTCACCAAGACCCAGAAACCTTGGGGTGGACAGCAAGTACTAAGGCCCCATTCCAGGCTGAGTCTCTAGTGAGGTCTGGAGAGGGTTGTCCCTCCCATCTTTCCCAGGGATAGTGGTTGGGGGCAATTGTCCAGCCGAACCTTCCAGAATACAACGAAGATTGAAGGTTTTTCTGGCTTCTGGGGTTCGTCTAATTCTGGCTCTGGTTCCTTCTCAGCATCAAGATTCAGAGTCAGGACTATCTTCTGGGGACTGTTGGGAATTCCATTCTTCTCATCTGGATAAGAGGGAAAGCTGAGGTCATGCCTGGGACCTGGGTTTCCTGACAGGTCCAAAGGAGTGAGATTCCCAGCGCTTAAAACATGGCCCCCTTCCAGCCCAGGTACAGGAGGAGAATTATGTGATGGCAACATGTTATTTTTTAATTTTTTGCCATGCTGGGGATTGAACCCAAGGCCTTGGTCATACTAGGCAAGCCCTCTACCTCTGAGCTATACCTTCAGTAACTTGAGACAGGGTCTCACTTTTGGAGGTGTGGGACTGGGGATAGGATCTCCATATGTAGTTGGACTTGAACTCAACTTGTAGCCCAGGCTGTCTTTGAACTCATGATCTTCCTGCTTCAGTTTCCCAAGTGGTGGGATTATAGGTAGGTGTATTACCATACCCAGCCCATTTATTTATTTATTGAGCACATGCATGTGCCAAGCATCTTAGCTGGAATCCTTCAATGCCATTACTAAGGCTAGAGGCGTTAAATGACTTGTCTAAGGACAAAGCTTGGATGTTGCAAAGTTAAGATTCAAAATTCAGAAGTGTTAAATCTAGAGCTTGCATACATGAAGCTCTACTGTCTCTCCCCTAATCCACCCCCCCCCCGCCTTTTTTGGTGGTACTGGGGTTTGAACTCAGGGCTTCACGGTTACTAGACAGGTCCTCTAGCACTCGAACCATGCCTCCAAGCCCTTTTACTCTGGATATTTTGAAGATACGGTCTTGGCTTGAACCACAATCCTCCTATCCACCACAGCTAGGATGACAGGTATGCACCATCACATCCAGGTTTTTTTTCACTGAGATGGGGTCTTGCAAACATTCTTTTTCTTTTTCCCTAGGCTCTCCTGGAACTGCTATCCTCCCAGGTAGCTAGGATTATGGGCCTGAGCCACCCACATCTGGCTGTCTTCCCATTTTATAGAAGAGACAACTGAGGCTCAAAGGACAGCAGGGATGACTTGACTTGAAGCTGAGTCTAGTGGCTCAGCTCTTGGGGGCTGAGGCAGGAGGATCATGGGTTGGAGGCCAGCCTGGGCTACAAAGTGAGACCCTGTCTCAAATTCCTACCTCTCTTCTTCCACAGAAAAAGGAATGACTTGAAGCCCATGGACTTCCCTTTGTGATCTTCTCCCTCTAATCGCACAAAGCTCCCAGGGATGGGGCTCCAGTTGGGGACAGAGGCAACACTCCACAGAGGAGCTGGCCACATCCCCTGCAGGGTCCTGTGGCTTACCATCCTGAAGGAGCTCAGTTTTGGTCTCTAACTCATGAGCTGGGGACTGTGATGGCTTCTTGGCCAGGTAGTAGCGAGCAAACTCCTGCAGAAGGATTAAGAAGTGTCAGCTCTGCTCGAGGTGAAGTGTCCGGATTTCTCCCCACACCACTGGCTTTCAGGCCGGGGTCCCCTGGTGGTCAAATCCTTTGGGGAGATCAGGGCTGAGTGCAGGTCTCCTCTGCCTCCCCTGGCCTCTAGACTCAAGGCTGTATGTAAGATGTTTTGGAGTGGGGCACTGGACCAAATGACAGGCTCACCAGGTGGGGCAGGCTCAGGTAACACACGATGGACATGAGGATGCCCACACAGGGCGTGATGAAATAGCCTAGGGCCGCAGTCTGGGAATCTGCGCCACCAGTGGCAGAAACTTCAGCTGTAGAGGAGAGGCGGTTGGTCCTTCAGCTCCCACAGCTCCTGAAACTCCTGTCCTACTTCCCACAGTGCACTTCTCAGATTCATCTCCTAGCCTCTCCCCCTTTCCTTCACTGACAAACTCAGGAATCTTCCACAGGACCCTAGCCCTTCACCCTCTGACTTTTCCATTTGTGCCATTTTTGTTGAACACCTACTATGTGCCAAAAGCTTCCTTTTGACTATGGGCTCATCACAGACAGAGTAGGGAGCTGTATTAACTACGTGTGTGGGGAAACTGACCCCGCGAGGTTAAATGTCTTGTCCAGTGCCTCTAGCTAATGAGCACTGGACTGAATTTATATGCAAATCTATCTGAATCTCAAACTAATCTTCCCCGCCTCAACCTCAGTCCATCAGCACATAGCAGGGTAGACCTTGGCCCTGGCCCCAAGTTCACTCAGCCTCACTTGGTCATTCTCCCTCAGTGCAGCACCCAAGAGCCCTGCTCCCTAGGTCCAATCAGCACTTTCCCATCACTCCATCGCCTATCTCCACCCAGAACCCTAGCATCTTCCTGCCCACATTCTCCCCAATCTGAGAGTCCCCCAGGTATACTCACTGGCCACAGACAGGAGCTTGGCAAGAGCAGCAAAGATCCCAGCCAGACCCTGGCCACTGAGGAAGAGGGTGCTGTAGGTTGACGGCATGGTGCCCAGCTGCCCAAAGAGGCTGCCCTGAAGCACTGCACAGAAGGCTGTAGAAAGACAGACATGGGGCTACCTCACCACCAGGCAGCCTCAGGCCTCCCTGGAGGAGGCGTCAGCAGAGTGCACTCCCTCTCCCCATTCATTCCTTTTCTGAGGTGCAGCCATTGGTCTGCAAGGCCAGTGGCCAGGAATCCTGCTCTTAGATCTCTGAGGGGCCAGGATAAGTGGCTTTTCCCCTCCCTCTGGGCTTAATAGTGCTGGCTTCCTTCTTGGATCTATTGGGCCCTTTCTGTTACAAGGCTGGGGTGGGAGGGGAAGAGGTACTCACAATTGATGAACCAGACAGAGGCCATGGTGATGGAAAAGAAGGGCCCAGGGCTCATGTCCACCTTGACCAATGCTGCTGTCAGGGCAAAGAGCAGTAGTATGCCCAACAGACTGCCCAGAATGCGCACCGACTCAGGGATGCTGCTTGGAAGGAGGCAGATGGCATCAGATAAGCCTAGGCTAGGCAGGGGGTACAGCCACAGGCAGGGCAGTGGGGCTGGGGCCAAGGGAGGGAGAGCTGGGGAAGGATGGAGGTCTTCCTGGGCCCAGATGATGCTGTGGAGGCAGTAGGGAGTTGGGGGGTGTCTCACCACTGATAGAGAAAGGAATTAAGGAGGGTGAAAAGTAGCAGAGGCAGCTGGGACAGCAGTGTCACCCAGTTGTTGAAGTTGAAGGTGTCTGTAGGGCCCGTGTAGTTGGTGCTCAGAGTCCCAGTTGTGCTGTTGACACCTGCCAGGCGCTCCTGGAAGTACTGTTAGATGGGGAGATGGTGTAGAGTCAGGCACACCTCCCTTACCTTCCCCCTCCACCTGTCCTCATACTTGTGATTGCTTGGCTGCAATCACAGGACTGTCTCTTGTCCCCAGCATGTGGCACCTAGTTGGAGATCCATGGATGTGCAATGAATAGAATGACTGAAGTCTGAGACAGAACTCAAGCCCTAGGAACCCCCAGCTCAGGCCTTGGTGTATCTTTGGATCATCTCACCTCTTTGGTGCCCTGGTTCCAGCTCTACATCCATTCAGCCCATGGATCTGCTTAGGCCAGGGTCTGGCTTAGGTGCTAGCCCTCTGCATTCTCTCTGGAACACACGCCCTGTCACTCCTCTACTAATCTCTGTCTACTCTACCTGCATTTCCCTATTGCCTGCAGGACAGAGCCCAAAGTTTTTGGAGCAGCATTTAGGGCCCTTCGCAATCAGATCTCAGTCTCCCTTTTGTCCGGTCTCCTGCTCTGTCCTGTTAAGCCCCAGCCACACCAGGCTCAGCATCTTTTTCTAAACAGGCCCTTCCTTTCTCCACTTGGAATGCCCTCTTCCCTACTGCCTCCCTCTCCCACTTTGCCTGTCTTACTCTCAACTTAAAATCTCTTTTGTGAAGCAGAAGTAATGGTCTCTCTCCAATGGTGACCCAGAACACCCTGCTCCAAGCTTGAGATAGCACGCATCATATTACAATATTAAAAGCTCTTGCCTGGTGCTGTCAAGACCAGGGTTGATTTATTTTTTGTCTCCAGGACCCAAAACAGAGCAGCAAGGCAATCCAGAGGCATTTGGGAAGTCCTTGCACTGAATATACCTGAATAACCCAGTCCTAAAAAGAATACAAATTCCACATTTCTACCTTCCTTTAAGAGAATGAATGCTCCATGAGAACAGATCCTCTCTCTGTTACAGTTCTGCCATATTCCTTCCCAGTGTCTGGTTCACAGAAGTTGCACATAAATGTGTGTTGGACAAATGAATATAATTCATATAAAGAAAACCCAAGGCTAGCTACTCAGGAAGCAGGGACTGGGAGAATCAATGTTCTAGGCCAGCTCAGACTAAAAGTTCACAAGACCCTGTCTCAACCACAAAATCTTGATGTGGTGGTGTGCACCTGTCATACCAGTTGCTGCTGGAAGCTCAAATAGGAGGATGGTCCAGGCCAGCTCCAGCAAAAGCAATACCCTATCTCAAATTAACCAGAACAAAAGGGCTGGAGGCTTGGCTCAAGCAGTCAGTCAAACACCTGCCCAGTTAAGTGTGAAACCTTGAGTTACCACCCCCTCACACACACACACACACACACACACACACACACACACACACACACACACACACACACACACACACGGGGCTGGATAATCCACTTTTGGAGTGACTGGCCCAGAAATAACAACAGTGGAGGTTAGTGGGTAGCTCCTTTGCAGGTCATAGACTCTCTGAGCTGGTAGCCCTGATCCTCTGGGCTCACGGCATTTCTGAAAGGTTGTCTTTCCTAGCCATGAGTTCCCTCTGAGGCTCCCTGCTTTAGTCCATAAATGAGCATACTGAGGAGTCAAAGGCGGCGTGGTGGGGAAAGTCCCTGCTGAGCCTCGGTCCAGGCGGCTGGAGGAATGGAGGGTGGTTGTGCCATGGGGCTGTCAGTCGGCCACGAGTCTCACCGGGATAGCGGTAATGAAGAAGTTCCAGGGAAGGAGGGTGCCCAGCCCCAGGATGAAGAAGCTGATTCCGACCAGGTGGTAGCTGTGGGGATCAGTAAGAAGGTCACCCGGAGGACGCACGCCTGGGCCGCTCCTCCTGCCTCCCAGGCCACCCCTCGGGAGAGCGGACTACAACCCCCATCACCCAGGCTCAGAGAGCCGAGGGAGTCGGCTGATGGGAATTGTAGTTCGATTGGCCTCAGCGCTCTGGAGCATCTAGGGGAGCGGGATTGCGCGGCCCATGGCCACCCAGCTCCGGAACGCACTGCAGCTGGTCTCCAACATACCTGTCCTGCGGGGCGCCACCTCGCGCCATGGCCGCTGTTGCAGGATGCGTAAGGCTGGGAGCAGGGGTGGGGAGGCTGCACCTGTACCTAATCGGGGCCGAAGGACGCGCCGGGGGTGTAGGGTCCCGTCTAGTCTCAGGGCCGGAACAGAGAGGTTGCCCGGGACCAGATTGTGCGGACTCCACGCTCCGCCGGCCCTGTGCTGCGCAGGCTCCGAGCTTTGGCTGCGCCTTCGGGGCGGGGACGGTAGGTGCGCACCTCCCCCCCACCGCCCCCAATCCGCGGGCTTTCAAGACTGCGGCGTCAAAAGCGTCCCAGCCTCCGGGTCTCCTGATCCCGCCCGCGCTGCGCTTGCGGCTCCAGGCGAGTGACAGGAAGGTGTCACCACCGCCCATTTCCACAGCCCCTTTCCCTAACCGCGGGCGTCTGTCCCAGATCATTCGCGTGGCGGAAGAGGAAAAGGGGGAGGGGAAGGGTGCCCTGCGCCCACCTTCGACACCCGGGCTCTGCAGCGGACGTTGCACTGGCGGCTCCGAGGTGTTGCTGGGGCTGCGCCCGCGCGGGTGCTGAGGGAGCCGCTATGGAGTCCTCGCCCAGGACGTGCGGGGAGCAGGGTCCGCGCGAGGGAAGCAGGTGTCGCGGCCTTTCGCCGGCGGTCCTGGAGGGTTGAACGGAGCCAGGTCCCCCCGGGAGGCCGAGGAGATAGACAGAGCCAGCTGCCCATGCTGGCAGAGCATCGCGGATCAGGAAGACAGTCGAACAGACCGGCCCTTGTCCTCCAGCCGGTGTCTGGCCAGAGCCAACCGTGGTGGCGAACAGAGGAGGCGCGAGCCCCGTAGGGGTGTCCGGGGGATTTATGGTGGCTGAGCTCGTGGGGAGCGGTGAGGCTAAGCAAAGACTGGGGAGGGGACCGTGGCCCTGGAGGTGAGGCCAGGCCCTCTCGCTCAGGCTGTGTGGGCTTAAAAACATTTCTCAGAGGCTCCGAGTCACATCACATTAAAAATACTGAGATACATCCAACACCCGCTGTTTTTTTTTTTTTCCCTGTGAAAACTTTGAAAAAATTATAAACTATCGCAGTTTCTAAATTAATTTGCTCGCACTATCTCATAGTTTACCAAAGGGCGTGGTTTCTCCTGGATGCTGGAGTAGCCAGAGGCTTTAAACCACAAATTGTTTCCATAAGTAATGACATTTTATAGCTATTTCCAGATTACTTGTGTTTTTCCTTCAGCGGTCAGTGGCTGTGTGGGGCAAAGACTGTGCTTGTTCGTGTCACTGTTTCATTATCAACATCTAGCTCCGCTGCCTGGTCCATTGCAGGTAGGCAACAAATGGGTGGCGACAAATGGATTGAACTGTAGTGATTTGCAGGTGACTTTAGGGAAAACAAGAACAGCATTTAATTACACTGAATTAAATTACACTGAATTACTTGGGAGTAACTGGCTCAAGCAGTAAGAGCACCTGCCTAGCAATATTGAGACCCTGAGTTCAAACCCAGTGCCACCAGAAGAGAAAGTTATTCTAAAATTTTCTTTCCAGCTTTGGAATATATCAAGAGAAAAAGTCTCAATTTGATTCTACTATGTTTTTAATATCTATTAATCCTTCCTGCACCCACAGTTGGTCTCGGGGCCCTCCTGACAATTTTACCTAGATACAAGTTCATAGTGTTGTGGGAATCTCAAGCTGAGATACAGGACACTGAGGCAGATTAGCAGGAAGCAACGTTTATTGTGCAGGCACAGACCCAGCAGGCTCGTGTCCAAAGGCTGAGCCCTGAGAACAAAGAGGTCTCACCTTATATACCCTTGCAAGCAGATTACAGAAGCAAAAAGCAAAGCTTAACCCACATATGGCTGCAAGTGACTTTATTGGCTGTTTTCAATCCCTCAGTGCTGTGACCCTCTTCATGTTTCAGTTTTTTAAGTTTTATCTCCCTGCTTTGTCATCCCTTCCCCCTGCCTCATTATCAGAACACAGCCTGTCTGTTTTTCTTCTGGTCCTCCTCCCTGCAACATTATTCCCCCCTTTGATGCTTGGACCTACCTAGGGTCAAAGAGCATCATCTTAATTTAGGGGTTTGTATTTCCATAGCATCATTACATGCGCGGCCGTTTTTCTTTCTATAATGGCCTCCATAATAGTCCTGATAGACCGCAGTACCATGGGAACCAGGTAGGGCAGTAAGCATGCTCCAGGACTAGGCTCATTGCCCCTATCGGGGTTTTCAATCCACCCAAGGCAGAGAACCATCCTCCAAGCAGGTCATTGAGATCCCATCCTCTCCAAGTCTGGACGGGGACATGGGCAAGCTTTCTTATTCTGTCTGTGATTTCTTCTATGACTTTTCCTTCATCATCAATCTGTAAGCAGCAGATTGCTCAGGTTAAATTTTCCACAAACTCCTCCCTCAGAAGCCAGCGAATAGTCTAAAGCCAAGCGGTTCGATAGATGGCATTGTGCATCTTAGTGCTTTGTTTTGCCAGCAAATTGAGAGCTTTTGCAGTTTCATTAGTTATAATTTCAATAACAGATTGTAGCCTGATGACACAGTTGATATATATAGGGGTGCAATACCCCCAGGACCTGTCTTCTGCCCAAGTGGCAGGACCATAGTACTGGATGATTCACTCAGGTGACCAGTCATCATCTTTCCAATTGCCAATTTGTAAGGCACCCTTTTTTTGTCTATTTAATCTTTCTTCATATATGGGGACTCCCAGTTTTTCACCTTGTCTGAGGGGAAGCAAGAAGGATGGTCTGATTGAGCATAGCATGCAAGACTCAAACCAGCTACTAGATAGCACCATATAAACTTGCTTCCCACAAATCTAATACAGCCCCTTGGGTGCCTGCTAATCTATGTTTGTGGTAAGATTGTTCCAAGCTTTTCGGAGATTTGAAAAGTTGGCCAGTGGGTGGGACTGGGGTTCTGTGTGGTTTGGAGCTCCCCACCTTTGGGTCTCTTGGGCAGTGTCATTGTAAAACTTCTGTCCTAAACAAGTTAAATCCCTCACCGAGTTGGAGAATTGGCCTTCTGGGCAGGAGATACAATAATTTCCAATGATGGAAGTTTTTAGAAGCCAGATGCCTTTCCTGTGTTTTGGGAAAGCAGTCTCATTAAAAGGCTCCCATGGGTCCATCTCCCTGGCTTCCCAAGGCCAATGGTCTCCCATGTTGGTCCCCCCACAAACATAGCATGAAGTGACATTCAGTGTCTGGGCTATAGACTCAGCCAGGGCAAGGAACAAGTTTTTGGCCTTGGTGGAAAACTCACTCCTCATCTCCTCATAAAGGAAGTGAAAAACTTGGTATGAGGAACCCTCATGGGTATCAGTTACTAATTTGAGGTGCATCAGAGTCCCAGGGTCAAGGGTCTTTCCATCTATCCTTATGCTAATTACTTGTCCCCATGTCCAATCAGATGACTTAAATACCATGAAATTTATAGGGTTACAGGTGCCAGGGGTGCAGTCAGGGGCAGCTTTCCCCTTGTGAAGGAGGGCTGCATGTTTTGCCCTTTGCCATGTGGCCCATAAAACACAACCTCAGTAAGGTCAATAATAAGAACCCGTATCATCACACGGCCAAGAGTTGTCTCCCTGGCACATATACTTGTCATTTTATGTACAGGCTCTTTTCTAAGCTAGATCCCCACAGCCATAGGCTGTACCTCCACACCCACCTTTGTCTATGGCTGCACATGCATCAGAAAGCACTAACACTGGTTTATCAGGGCTAAACACCTGGGTGCGGCTGACGTTTCCAGTGTTGTGGATGCTCCTGATCTCTTAACCGTTGCTCCCGAGGGTGGTAGATGGGGTTGAAGCAAATGTGCTGGTTACCGTGGGAGCACACTAAATCGGTGGTATGGTTGTGAATGCATGACCCGATGATGGTGCCTGCACAGGAATAGTAAGTATGGAAAAGCAAAGTCCCAGTGACAACACTTCCTGCCTGAGTGGTATACATGCATAGGTCACAGGATGAAGGTTCTGAGATCGTGAAGAGAAACCACATCAGTAACAATATGCATCCTGCCCAAAAGAGGTAGAAGAGAGCTAATGAAAACCTTTTGCCATAAGTCCAGTCAGCAGGGGCGTTTTCTGCCAAACCTGTGGCAAAGACTGGGGTGAGAACTACAGCAACAGATACAGACAAGGGGTGACAATGCACTATAGTGAAATAACTGGTATGGAAAAGAGTCTGTCCTGTTGGTGAGTTGACTCCTCAAGCTTCTGCCATGCATAGACTAATCAGCTTCTGGGGATGACTAGATCAGGGTTGTTGTCCTGTTGTCTGTGATCCCCTGTTGTGTTGTCTTCTGGGGAGTGGAAACCAGCCAAGGGAGGGCACTGATGTTCCAGAGGGTGATCTTACAGAGCAAAGCTGGGTCAGGGATGCACTCCCACTTGAGAGAAGCTGGCCTGACTCGACTGTGGTGGATCCAATGAACTATCTCTGCTACTTTGACTGTGGTAGGGATAGACAAAATAACAACAAAGGGGGTCCCTCCAATGAGGTTTTAGCAGTCGGACAGTCCATTCTTTTACCCAGATGGCATCCCCTGGTGTGTAAGGGTCTGTAGGAGTTGTAGATTGACAGGAAATCTCTCCCAGACCCCGTTATTGATCTCTGAGAGAGTCAACCCGAGGTCCTGCATCTGCTGCCTCAAGGTGAGGCCACCTATTTCCTTAAGGTCCCCACGTATGCCCTTGATTAAGGGGGATGGACATCCATAAAGAACTTCAAAGGGTGAGAGCCCTGTCCATTTTGTGGGGCTACACCTAATATTAGTAATGCTATGGGCAGTAATCGATCCCACTGCAGGTGGGTCTCCTGACAAAGTTTTTGTAACTGTGATTTTAGGGTTCTATTCATGAGTTCCACTTTTCCTGAACTCTGGGGGCAGTAGGCTGTATGCAACTTTCAGGTGATTCCTAATCCCTTAGCCACTAGCTATACCACCTCTGCCACAAAGGCTGGCCCCTTATCTGAACCAATAGACACATGTATTCCAAACCAAGGGATGGTTTCCTTTAACAGGCATCTGACCACCTCCCGGGCCTTTTCAATTTGTGTGGGGAAGGCTTCCACCATTCTGAGAAGGTGCCAACACCAACAGATATTTGCATCCTCAAACTCATGGCATTTCAGTGAAGTCCACAATCAAGTTTTCAAGAGTAGTCCCACCAACACTCTGCACCTGGGGAGGTGCTCTCAGCCCTTGTCTGGGGTTATTTTTAGCACATAGGGTACATCTCTCACATACTGCCTTACTTATGCTGGAGAGCTTGGGGACATAAAAATGTTGAGCCAGGGTGGTCTCAAGGGCTGTTCACCCTGAGTGAGTTCCTTTGTGGAACTGCTTGACAAATGTAGGGGCCAGAGACTCAGGTATGGCAATGTAGCCATTGGCAAACTTCTACCATCCCATCCGTCTGGTAGAAAAGTTCCCTCCTCAGTCTTAAACCAAGCCTGTTCTTGTGGTGTGTACTGTGGGTCCCATTCAGCTGAGGGGCATGGAAACAAAGCAGCTGTCAGAACAATTAGGGCTGGTCCCCTTGTGAGGGCCACTTGTTTGGCCTCTTTGTCAGCTTTCTGGTTTTCCTGGGCAATTGTTGCATCTCCCTTTTGATGCACCCAGCAGTGTATAACTGCCATCCATTTAGGGGCACACACAGTGTCTAGCAGTTCAAGGATTTCCTGCTCATACTTGATAATTTTTCCTCCAGAATTAATGAGTCCCCTCTCTTTATATAAGGCCCCATGGACATGAATGGTTCTGAAGGCATATTTAGAGTCCGTATAAATGTTTACTTGTACTCCTACAGTGAGCTGCAGTGCCTCATGAGGGTGACAAGTTCAGCCTTTTGCACCGAAGTCCCTGTTGGCAGTGAAGGAGCCTCAGTAACTGAGGCCAAAGTCACCACTGCATAACTGGCAAAGTGTGTGCCATCTCAGACAAAGCTTCTGCCATCTGTGAAATATTCAATATTCGGAC